ACACAGCTGCACGGATGAGACTGTGGGGCTCAAGATCTGGCGGATTTTGTGATTCGGGGAATCGTGATCTTTGAGCGTTGGTTTTTGTCTGAGATTCGTCCGACCGAAATCATGATTCTGGCCAATGCGAAATACGCCCGATCCGAGATCTCCCCACCACAGTTTGGCGCCCACAGAGCCTCAGGCCTCAGAGCACACGTCCGTTCGAGTTGTATTCCGTACTTAGAAGTCCACATTGAACAGTAGGAGACTACATTAGAACACATGTATGATCTCAGCTCGGGTAGTAAGCTGCAATAGATGCCGGAATAACAGGCTACGGGCCGGAGAAAAACTCATCGTCAAGCTCGCTGGTACCTTCGCCCCTCATAGACAGGGCCGGAACGTTGTCGTCGTCGTCCTCAAGGAAACCACCACCTAGATTACCTTCAGGGAAATCCTTTTCGTCCTGAGCTATCATATCTTCTCGCCACCTATCCATCCAAGATGTCAGCAGTATATCAAAGTTATAACACCACGGGACACATACTTAACCCACCCGTCGCTCTCGTAGTTTGTACCAAGGTTCTTCTTCTGATGAAGCTCCTTCATCTCAGCATTGACAGCCTTCCAAAACCCACTGTCAGCCCCACTCTGTCGTTCCGTCTTGGTAAGAGACGATGTGCTCGCACGTGCATCTGACTGGCTTTAGTGAAGAAGCGTACAGGCATCACGACGCTGGTAGTCCCATTTAAGGTGGTAAGGCACGGTTCATAGACGAAATAGTCTTGCTTTCCAGAGGCATCACGAGCCATCATGCCGGCATATTTTGAATCTGCTTCCCAGAGTCAGCGGTCTGCTTGTCGTGCTTCTGTGAGCCGAGGGAAGCTGCTTTCGGGATAGAACTTCAATGACTTGCGTACTGCAGGGTTGGCTACCTCCTATAGAGTACATCCGTGCTGAGTCCGTGATAGTTGCGGGCACATGGTAGTATACTCACATGGGAAAGGATATGCGCCAGACTGGTCTTGCAGTAGAAGTTACCAAGAGAGCTCTTGATGACCTCTGGCTTCGAGCCGGCCAGTCCCAAGATGAATTTGCGACGCTCCTTGACAACACGTATGGTGGGTAGATTGGAGATCCCAAGCTCCTTGCCAAACCATCGCGTCACCTCCATCTCAGCCTCCGAGAATGCTGCACGCGGGAATGCTCCCAAGATATCGATTAAGCATTGCTGGAATGATGCATCAATAACCTGCGGTATCACTGGAGATCCTTGATCAACGTGATGATGCGAACCTTCTTGTTGCGCCAAGGCCACCATTCTTTGTCTTCCTGCTGTTCAGGGCCATCCGAGAGCTCTCCAGCTATAAATTGGTCGGAGATTACCAGTACTAGGAGAAGAGTTGGTGGGGGAAACGCGAGCTCACCGAGAAGATCATCCGGAGAGGCGTCGTGAAATGGATCGCTAAATGCCGGCTCATCCCATGTCTCCGAATCAGAGTCTGCTTCGGCGTTGGGGCTATCCGAGAGAGTCGGGTCTGCAAGGCCCGTTTCTGCTTGCGCTGATAGGGATCTCACAGGAGAATGAAGCGGGCTTGACTGCCCGAGTCGGCCAGCCCAGTTGTCAAATATCTGGTCGGGCGGGTCACTAGGTAGTTGCGGTCCATGGATGGAGCCTAACGGGTTCGCCTCTAGAAGTTGGTCGGAAGCCGCAGTCTGATTAGCCCCGGGCAGCTCAAAGTCTCCGAGAGCGACTGGTGTATGCGGCCGAAGTGGTTGGCATGGTGCGTCTGGTGAATTTGATAAGGTGAACTCTGTGCCAAAGGTGCTGTGTAGAGATAGAGCTGGAAGGTAATTGGTGGGGCGATAGCCCTCAGGTGGAGATGAAGGCGGCAAAGGGGAATCGGCGCGGTTCAGACTCGGAGACGCGTTCGACACATTCGGGACATGGGCGGGCACAGGTTCAAATAGATCACTTTCAACACGGCCGTCGAGCTCGCGTACTCGTCTTGTGTGACGTGCGCTTGCTTCGTGGTGAAGAGCTTTCCGAAGTGGCATGCCTAGTTCTCCGCAGACAGTGCAGTCGAAGCCATACCGACGACTGCTTCTGAAGACTGGGGTCTCGTTAGTGAGGTCCGGATGACCGTGTGCAGGCTAGAATCTCGCAGTACTTACATTGTGGCTCAATAGAATCGTCTTCTGTGAGCGCCACACTGGTCTCATCGGGCTCATGCTCAGGCTGTCGACGCTTCATGTCATCTGACGACGGCAGTCAGTGCTGCGAGCACAGAGACTCGTTTGCACAAATCTTAGGCGCAAAATTCTTAGCACACGGACTCCTGATTCATTAGTGCAGAGAATATTGGCAGATTCTCGAATGCGGGGTATCTTGAGACTTGTGTGACATGGTCAGACAAAAACCAATGCTCAATGATCAGATTCCCGAATGACCGAAATCGCGCCCGCGTGATTTTCAATATCTCTCAGATCCTGTCACCTCAGTCTCATCCGTGCAGCTGTGTACGGGCATGAGCTGATTTCAGATCACCTGAAATGTCCCGGTCAAGCCATCAAAAATGTTTCATTTTCAAGAGACTTAACCGGGGCTTTCTGGTGTCCTAAAATGATAGATTTGCCACCACTTTCGTAGCCATTTGCGGTGCAGGAAAATGATAATTTTTGTGTAGCCTGAAATGAACCTGAAATGACTCAATATGGCTACATTTCGGTACGGCAAAGAGTTCATGTTTCAGAAGACTTTGTGGTGCATTTCAGGACATCTGAAAGAACATATGTAGAAATCATTTCCGCCTCATGTTTGCAATGAGGAAAGGTGCGGGCAAGGAAAACTTTTGATGGTCCTGAAATTACCATTTACGGCAAATTTGTAGTACGTTTCTAGGACATTTTTGGCTTATCTCAAGTAAAAATCTTCTAGCTCATAAAATAGCTTCAAAATCCACTCAGA